AGACTATGGCAACAATTTGTTTACTTAGTTTGGTCGTTCGATACTTCAATAAGACGAATACTTTTGCAGCTTCGATTTGGACATTCACGATGATCCATTAAAGCCAACTTTTTTGGATGCGCCGGACAGACCTTCTGTAGGCGACCCATTAATTCAAAACCGCATCTCGTGCAAACGATATGGCATGGCGGCCTGTCACAGATACAAGTCTGTAATTAATTAAAACCAAATTATTTTACTGATTTAATTAAATGGGGGTAATTGGGGAGGGGAGTCTAAGACCAGGGCGAAAAAAAAAAAGGAGCAGAAACTATTCCTTAGTCTGTTGCCATTATCATTTCATTCTCCTCACTTCCCGTACAAGCTTCCACCTTATATCTCATTCTTCCTCAGTCTACTGCCTACTATTACTGTTGCTGCTGTTGCTGTTACTGCTGCTGATGTTGATAGAATAACAGATACTGACTGCATAGCAGTATACACTATTGCTGTTGTCGAAGCATCAAAAATAAAAGAGCTGTACTGTTTAGTGCAAATAAAACGGGTACAGATAAACTGAATAGAATTGGCTAATTTTTAACAGCATCAAAAAAAAAGGTCAAATTTTCATGAAAACTTTATTGTCAAAAAGAATTAATCTATTCCTTCTTCTTCGCACTTTTTTTTTCGCTCATAAAAAATCATAGTTCCCGTACAGACAGCCAGCCTACAGATTACATCTCTACGTGTATTTGTGGCTGATGCGTGAATAGGTGAATTTATGTGTTGTATTTGTGTTTGCTGTTTCTGTGGGTGCAAATTATTTTTGAAGAAAATTTTGAAACAAACCAATAAAACTACGAAAAAAAATTGAAAAATCATAAATATTGAGGAAAAAATAGAACAGATGACAGGTTTAGCCTATGACTTATCAAACTGCAAAATACTGATGTATAAACAGCTTAGAAACAAATGTACATCAATTAACAACACAAATACATAGATCAAAAAGAAAAAAAGAACCACATACGTATACATACCAAACTTATTATTACTTTTAGCAGCAAATATCAGCGAGACAAAAATAAAATAAGATATATTGATTATTGTCTGTTTTGTCTTTTTTTTAATCAGTAATAAATTATTGAAGCCAAATTCACAGTTTTCTCTATTATTTATGTCGGTTTTATTTATTTATTTATTTTTTTTTTTTTTT